TATTTAGTACTTGACACTAATTAACTATAAAGCCAGAATGATAGTTGCCTACACTTTGTACTTCATTTCTAAATAAAACACAATAAAATAGTTTCAGCTGTTATGGACTAGCAACTAGTATTTCGTTTTCCACACAGGGTGAAGTTAGTTTTTATTCTCATGTAGTTTAAATAATTCAGCAGCTTTAAGACACTGCTGGGTTTCATGGGAACTTTAAGCACATTTTTATAGAAAGAAAAATACTTCACAAAACAGAGCTACTTTGTTATCAATTTAGTCAGTCCAGCTGGAGTATTTAATAGTCTGTGGGCATGTTTTCACAGTCTGAGGATTACACCAGGGATTCCTACAAGAAAACAAGGCATATACATTCTGGAAAATGGATACAATGTAGCCTGCTTGGCATAGCTAGGTACTTGTTGATAAGTTCTCTCTTGAGAATGAGTTTATTGATGTGTGGTGAGAGCTGCTCTAATAAACTCCCAGGTTATAGCATATATGGAGTAGGTGTACTCTGCTTCATCATGGTTGTCAAGAACAGTCCTCAGGAGGTATAGACATATTCTATGGTCCATTAGACTTTGTGTATGTCTAATTCATCCATAAAGCAGATCTGGTACTTGATGCTATACAAGTAATCTGCTTAATAATCAGGGATGTGGGTTTTCCATTTCCTGTGGAAAAATGGATAAAAGCATGGAGTTTCCCTTTTAAGAGAGAAAACTGGGTTTTCCATTTTTGCAAAGAGCTCTCTGCAGGCTGACAGAGTTCCAACCCTGCAAGCAGCTGGGGGGAGTAGGAGGAGGACAGTCAGGCAGGGGGCACCATGTGTATGTGTATGTGTGCACTCACACATGCACAGGGCTGCTAGGCAGCCTGGAGAGCAGCTCCCACAGGTAAGTCTGGTGGGGGGGAAGAGAGAGATAAAGCTGGGGCTGCTGCCCAGCTTGGCAGTGCATGGGACTTGGGGCCTGGGGCTATCCACAGCCACAGGGCCTGGGAAGGGAGTAGGACAGGGCCACAGGAAGCTTGTCTAGTTGGTGGGGCAGGGGGCTGCCTCCCTGCTGCTGTGCACTCCCAGGGGGTCATGTGCCCTCCAGATTTGTGCACTGGGCAGGGGCAGGCTGCCTCATGCAGGCTCAGGCTCCCTGACCTGCTGCTCTCCCCCTGGGGCCTCCATGGTTCAATGTGTGGGACTTGGTGCAACAGGGCAGAGCAGGGAAGCTCATTGCCATGGCAGGACCTGCACCACCCTGGCAAGACCCCCTACCTGCTTGGCAGCAGTGGGAGCAGCAGCTTGGAGTTGTGCCCCCTGCTGCTGCCAGGCAGGCAGGGGGTGCCTTACCATGGCAGTGTGGAGCTGCCAGCAGCAGCAACTTGCATCCCCACCCAGCCCTGCTCTACCCTGCCAGGCCAAGTCCCACCCACTGGGCCACAGAGGGGAGCCCTGAGCTCACAACAGTTAGCCTGCACCCACCCCCTGCCACGGGCTTCACTCTGGCTATGCCACCCAAGGGGGAGGGGGAAGGGGGCTCCATACTCTGCTCTGCTGCAGCAGTCGCAGCCTCTCATGGGCAGCAGCCAGGGCTTGAGCACTGCTGCAGCAGCCAGGGAGCTGTGGGCCCAGGTCCCTGGCCCTGTATCCCTGGCAGCTGGGGGCCCCCTCTGGCAGGTCAGGGAGCAGTGGTTTGGGAGTGAGGGGACTGGATCTGCATCCTGGCGAGTGAAGGGGGCAAGGGAAGTTCTGATTTTCCATGATTAAAAAACTCAAAAACAACTACAGCAAAAGCTGTGTTATCTGGCACCTTACAAGCCAGCATGCCCAATTAACTAGCATGCCAGTTTGTAAGGTAAAAGCGAAACCGGAAGTGCCCACCGTGGAACCACCGGTTTCGCCGAACCGCCATGGCCTGGGGCAAAGCAGCCTGCACCACGGCCCAGGGTATAGGAGCCTGTGCAGAGCCCCCCTCCCTGTCCCTCGGGGCCCGCCGGAGAGGCAGCAATGTGGCAGGAGGGACGGCAACGCCCCGGACATGGCAGGAGAAGCAGCAGCCTGAACAGGCAAAGACGCCTGTTTGGGCCGCTCAGTTAACCGGCATATTTTGTTATCCGGCACTCCCAATGGATGCCAGATAACAAAGCTTTTACTGTATCAAAATGTTCAGGTACTTAGAATTTATTTTATTATAGTGATTGAGACACTGGTAGGCTTCCAAATTGATATATTTACAATTTTAAAGCAATAAGACCTTGCGTTCAATTAATACATCCATCAATTCATACAAATTTAATCACAGATTTTGGGGTTTTAATTAGAGAATTTGTGATTTTTTTAAAATCAGAATTTGCTATTTTTTAACAGGAATCCTGGCTTTCTGTTTAATAATGCATCTAACGTTATTGAAATGGATGCTCATTTAGAGATTGGCCTAACACCAACTAGAGTATCACCTTCATTTGAATGGGCCCCTTGGTCAGGCTTCAAATATAATGAGCACCCCTTAAGAGAACCTGTTTGTCTATAAGAAGGTGCAAGCACTCTGTGCTCCATGACTTTTGTTTTAGGGCAGGTTCTTCAAAGGCAGAAGTAGCACCTAGGCACTTGTCTCACTGATTTTCTATCGGAGATCAATGACTAACTTCTGTAGTTTTCCTTTTCTTTTAAGAACCATATTTTGTTAATACATTTCTTTCATCTTTTTTGAAAATGACTTGACGAGTTTTCTAAACATAGTATTTGAGTTTCAATTCTCTGTAAACTGAAAGTGATAGCTGCGTAAATGAAGCATGAAGCTTGATGGGTTTTTTTGCTCGCCTGTTTTCCTCATGCTCCAGCACTGACAAACACAACATTGTACTGCGGGCAATGCTGCCCATTAAAAAGAAAGAACAAACAATTGAGCTTAGATGTATAAAACTTCAGACTAATGGAATAATTCTTAGGCAAATGCATTCATGCAGAACTTTTGAAAAACCAGAGCATCAGGACTTAAGTATCACGGCTTTAGTCATAGTAAGACAACACAGCCCATCTGATAGATTAAATTCCAGGCATTTTGTCATGCAGAGATAAAATCTAAGGG